TATGTGTGTCTGTTTGGCATAACTTACATTGTGATACCACTCGACCCGGGTTATGCCCGGATTCGCYTTTACATCGCAATCCAAGTAGACATCGGAGCCCTTCAGCAGGTTGTTCGGATCCAGAGGTGCGCCCAAGCGCAGCGAGACAATGGGTGCATCTGTGGGAGAAGAGCAGAAATAGATTCGGGATTAAGAARCGGTAAACATAAATTTTTATAATAAACTTTCAGCTTCTAATAAGTTTTTCGTTTGCTCGATCTAGAATTTTTCACGTGCTCTTTTCTGCATAAGAATCAAGGCCTTATATTGAAAACTTTTTCATTTGAAGAGAAATCTGCATGAAACTCGGCATGCATTATTTTTTAAGTCAATGATGCCATCTCCAAAGTTTTTATTTAGATCGGAACACCATAGCATATAGCCGTACAAACTGAACGATCGGAATCAAAGAATTGTATGGAAAACTTTTTCATTTGAAGAGATATCTGCATGAAGTTTGGTCAGTGTAATGATCTAAAGTAGTTATGTAATCTACGAAGAAATTGTTTAGATCGGATCACTATAGCTTATATCTCCCATACAAATTGAATAATTGGAATAAAAGGTTTGTATGGAATTTTTTTTTTTAATTGCTGAGTAATCTTAACGAAATTTGATTAGGATACTACTTAAAATAATTATGCAATCTKTGAAGAAACTGTTCAGATCGGTTCACTATAGCATATAGCGGCCATAYAAATTGCACATCCAAAATAAAGTCCATGTACGGAACACCTTTYGATTTGACGAGATATCATCAGGAAATTTGGCCTGGATAATTATTTAATACGAAAAAATTTATCCGATCGGATAACTATAGTATATAGCTGTCATACAAACTGGCTGAACAAAATCATGATAAAGCCATTCAGCTGGCCTTGCTTTACTATTTGTATTCTTCTAAGTCCAGTTCTAAGTTTTCATCTAAGAATTRCTTATATTGCAGCTTTCTCATAGGCTCAAGTACTATGTTTCGCATATGCAACACTTAGTTGCAGCACTTATTAAGCATTAGCTAATATAAAACAAAAGTACACTTCAGCAAAGAAATTGATTTGAAACTACATGCGGCTTCAGGCTCGGAATCCAATTAAAATTTACTCAAATCAATTAAAAACTTAATTAGTACAGCGAAAGCTGCTTACGTCGGCGTAAACCCGACTGCGAATAAAGCTCGAGTAAGTGTTTATTATTACATAGTTAACATTCACATAAGTGCGGGGGCATAAATGCTTAAACACTTAGCTGAATGCATGTGCAGCAAGCTATAGAATACGCGCCTRAGTAAGAAAGTACAGTTATACACAAACGCATACATATATGCGCAGGTATGCATGGGAAACTAACTGTACTTATGAAGTGCTCAGTTAATGTGAAGTGCAAGCGAGTACTCGCACTTGAATGTAACTAACTCGAGCGCACAACTAGTTAAGCAAATGCACACACACACAGGCAGCAATATACAGAGCCACCCATACATAGATTTATATGCTATACAAGCATACAGCATACATGTGTGTGTGCCTTGTGTGTTTGCATGCAAAGCCAAGCATAAGCTCGCCTTAACTGTCRCCGAGTCGACAATTGACTTACGTGTCACATTCAGCACGCGCGAATCCTTCAAATACAATCCCATATTGCCATTGCTTTGCGCCGTCAACACGGTCGTATCGCCCTCGTGCAGCTGCTGCGACGTTATAGATGGATTTAATGAAATGGAGCAGACTACTTGACGCTCGTTGTCCTCGGGCACCGGTATAAGCATCAGCTCGGAGACGGTGGTGTTGCCATCGCTGGAAGTCTGCAAAGATAAAATATTGAAGTTGAAGGATTAAAGATGTTCGCAAACGAGCTTTAGATCAGGTATGTGTTTTCGACTATGTGTTAGCAGCAAATATACATATATGAGTGAGTTGTTTAGTGGATTGCGTTTGATTCAAGGCAAGAACTAAAAAACTTGCGCTCATATTTTTTTATAGCAAGTCAAAAAATTAAATGCTCAATAATTTTAGTTCTGTATCACAAGCTTACCGACTGTGTTGCTCCCTTGAGTATTTGTCCCGATTTTTTCCACACAATTTGTGGCGCTGGTCGTGCGCCGACCGCGGTGCAGGTCACATGTGTGCGCGTGCCAGCGATGAGCGCGTGATTTAGACCTTGCAGCAGCAGACTTAGTGGCGGTACTGAAATTTAGAGAAAACAAGAAACATATTTTATAAATGTGCTGAAGGTGGCTTAAAATGAATATTATAGAATCATTGAAAATTTGAAAAAAAGATAAAAAAATATTGTTTAATTAAATAA